GGCCGCAATCTATTTCGCAGTTGGAATGATTTTTTAAAATTTATGTAGCGTTTTTCCTGGAAAGATCGCAGCAAAATCTACGAGTACTCAAATTTTCAGGTTTTTTTACGCATTCTTCTGAGCGCAAAAACTCACTGAATTGGGAGTACTTTTTTAGTTGGCTAAGACATGGCTGAGTGGCAAAAATGGAAAATGTGTTGAATCGGCGCGACGATTATTTCGTAGTCTAAATGATTTTTTGTTAATGTTCTATTATTATTTATGGAAAGAACACGACCTCATCTATGGATTCTCAAAATTTCAGTTTTTTGTGCATGTTCGTCAGAGCACAGAAAATCGCCGAAGTTGCCTCTTGCAAACGTCTGTTTCGTTGTGCCTGACCTCCCTGTTTTGAGAAGACGGGGCTCAACGCCTGGGCCTGAGGGCCCTTTTGCAGTTCCTATGCCCTCACTTCTTTTTGGGGTCCGCTTCTACCCGAGGACCGGTCCAATGCCCCCCACTTCTTTTTGGGGTCCACTTCCACCCGAGGACCGGTCCTTCGTTTTTCCAAAAGTCCCGGTTCTACCAGAGCTAGCTGTAGGTAGTCCGCAATTTTGGCAAGGACCGGTCCCCCAATTTTTTTTGCCCCCTAAGAACCCACTGTGCGTCCTGGTCGCCTGCCGCCAAAAATGAGACACCTTGACACAGACGCGGAAGCCCACTATACCGCAGCCTAAGGGCTGCGAACAAGGCCTACGAACTCTCTGGCCATAATTGTCCTCTTTCTCTCTCTCCCCCCCTCACCTTCGGAGAGAGAAAGAAAGGAGGGGAAATGCTGTTGATTTTTGCTGGATCAGATCCCCCCTACCTCCCGTCTGTGCTGTGTTTCTTAGTATGCTCACATGAGAGACAAAGCGGGCGAGCTGGTGGCAAAAGGGCTGTTGGGTATCAGGGAATTAGGCACGACTGGTAGTTGGGAAGTGATAAGTTTGTGGTTCTAAGAATCCCAGTCCCAGGAACAGGTACAACCCCATGTCCCTGCCCCCCACAAAAAGAAAAATTGCATATGTGCCCCATTAAGAGATGGATACCACTAGGGCAAGGGGCAAACATGCAATTACCTCCGTCCAAAGGTAGATAGCTATGCTTGCAGGGGTCCCCTATATAGCCTTTGGAGTAACGGCAGGTAGGTGGTGAAAGCTGAAAAAAGACATGTTCCATGACATGGCAGAAGCCAGGTATACAGCTGTCCCCGAACAGGGTGAGGACAGCTGGAAAAAAAAAAACTACGGGAATACTCTCCATACCCAATCCCAGTGGGCACCTGGCATCTGTACCCAGGAAATGGTCTGTGCAAATTATTTGCATGCCCAGGACCCAGGTGGGCCAAGGTTGGTGCTGCCAAATTGCAGTTGTACCCAACTACCGGAATCCTCAAACTACGTGAATACCCGGGCAAAGTATGTGCACAGTGCACACAAATTTTCCCTGCCCAGCTCCTGGGCATAGCCATAAGCTTCTGCTCCCCTACCAAGGGCCTTTGTGACTGGGTACATGTGTACGTTGGCCCACGGCAAAAGTAGGGTGTTGAACAGGGTCTGGATATAGATACAAGTTGGGCACTGGGACGGGATATAGCGGGTATTCCCATATTTAGGTGGGGTACAGATGCAATTTTGCCCCGAAAAGCCTAGAAAGTTAAATGGGTCCCACGTACAGATCCAAGATGGGCGTTATGACCGGGCATACCGGCAACTCCCACCACAGATGCAATTCTTCCCCTTCCTGATTCACGGGTCAAGAGCGGACCAATACCCAACCGCCTAGCTTAGTGGGTACACCCATGAACTGTTGAAATATAGACCCGAGTTCGAATCCAGATGATGATGGGAAAATAAAAAAAAACGTCAGCCAGTGGGAACAGGAAAGGGCGGGGGAGTGAAACAGCAAACACGCATGCGACTTGAAGGAATTTTGGGTGAGCGCGAAGAGCGAGAGCCGGCGGTGGAATAGACGGACGGGAAAAGATAGAATCGAATCTTGTGGGTTCGGACAAGATAGGAATGAAAGATGCACGATGCGAACGGGGCGAGGAAAGCGTGGGAGTGTGAGAATTAACAACAGGTGATTTAAAGAGAGTCAATGTGAGGGCGAGCGTGGGGGAGGAGGGCTGGCAGGAGGAGGAAGTAGTGTTGCGTGCGAGTGAGGCTGCACGCGCGACAAAAACACGCACACGCACACACACACACACACACACACACACACACACACACACAGAGAGAGAGAGAGAGAGAGAGAGAGAGAGAGAGAGAGAGAGAGAGAGAGAGAGAGAGATGTCGAAGAAGAACAAGTTGAGCACGAGGCGAAATCGGCACGAATTCGACTTGAAACGAGAAAAAGAGGTGCAGTTGAAGAAAGCTCAGAAAGATGCGAAGATAAAGGAAAAGCTAAAGGCGGAGGCAGTGATTGGAAAGATGAAGAAGAAAAAAGAGAGGAGGAAGAAGGGGTTTAAGGTTGGTAAGAAGTCCAAAGTAAAGCTCGCGAATACTAGGCTTTTGAAAGCTAAGGGAGAGCAAGCCATGGACTTGAGCTGACCTGCTTCGGATTTTATGTTGGTTGTGTTGGTTAAACCCTCATCTGACATCTGCATGGACCTGAAGTTGGGGTTGTATTCCACATGGGGAGCTTATATTTCTCTGTGTGTTCCTCTATTTGCCTCCGTCGGGTGGATACCCTTCCAATGGACTCTCGTATGGTGCCCGTGCTCTGGGGCAACCCCCATCAAGCTGGAGAATGGGGCAAGCAGCTGCCGAGAGATCAAAGATGATGGAAAGGGGGTGCGGGGGCGGCGTATGGAGGGGGTAGAATCGGAAGGGGGTAGCATTTGGAGGGGCACCACCTGGAGGCGGTAGCCTAGGGGGTGTTGTACGCATTCGGACGAGACTACGGTAGTCATCTGAATGGGGAGGTGGTCGCAGTCGGACTGATCAACGACGAGACGGATTTCTATTGACATATGTGCGCGCGCGTGTGTGTCGGTGCGTAGCCACGTGGCCGATGATGACGTGTATGTGGCCACGTGGCGGAGGATCACGTATGTGTGGCCACGTGGCCAAGTATAAAATGTTGTATGTGGCCACGTGGCCCATGACGTGGTGTGTGTGGCCATGCGGCCAAGGATGACGTGTGTGTGGCCACGTGGCCAAGGAGGACGTGTGGGTGGCCACGTGGCCAAGGAGGACGTGTATGGGCAAGTGATGACCTGTGTGTGACTACGTGACCAAGGATGACCTGTTTGTGTCCACGTGGCCAAGGACCATATGTGGGACCACGTGGCTAAAGATGAGGTTGACCATTCATCCCTGTCGGGCGCACGAGGACGTTTACATGAAAACGCACAGCGACACGGAAGGGTGGGAGGGAGAGAGAGAGAGAGAGAGAGAGAGAGAGAGAGAGAGAGAGAGGACTCGTTTACATGAAAACGCACAGCGACACGGAAGGGTGGGAGAGAGAGAGAGAGAGAGAGAGAGAGAGAGAGAGAGAGAGAGAGAGAGAGAGAGAGAGAGAGTCCTTGCGGTCTGGCAAGAGAGTGCTCAATCGTCGTGAGTGGGGAAAGAGGGAGGGAGGTTCCCTTTTTTAGCCTTCCATTTCCGTCTTTTGACGTCGTCTGCGTAAACATGCTTGTGCTTTTCTTAGCAGAGAAAGCACACTCTGGCCAACAGCAAGCGAACAGCAGTTTCGTTTTGCCTCCTCTTCGCATGTGCACAGCGCTTGGTGAGGGGCTGCTGCGTGTAACATGTACATCTCCTTTTTGGTTTGCCTTTCTTTTCCTTTCCCTGAATTTTTAATTTTATTTGATGTATCGTATCTTCAGCAGTTTCTGTTGTCGTCGTCGGATGAGTCATTGTGTTCTTAAAGTTCCCTGATGGGAAATTTGGGCCCGGCAAGTGAACGGCGATCAATCAACAAACGACTACACTCCCTTTCGCCCAAGAAATGACTTCACTCCCTTAAGAGTATCTACGTATATATTGAGGGCAGTGGTTGGTGCCCACCTCCTCAGAGGGGTATCAGTTGTCGGGCAGTCGTTGATGCTTAACCACAATCGGGGTTAAGGTGGATTATCACTTCCAGTGTAATCAGTCAGTTAGGGGATTCTGCAGACTGTTTTTGAGGGTTCAGCCTCCTGAGGAGTAGGGAGGTCAGACTCCGACGAAACAGTTTGTCACAGCCTCTCGTTTGTTGTCGTCTTCTCCCTCTTGTCCCTCCCTCTCTGCCTACGGTTTACCGCGCAGTTCTGTTTGACGATATATATATGTGATGCTATATATATAGCAATAATCGTCAGATTCGAAAGCCTTCTCTCTTACAAAATGAGTTGCCGCAGAGTCGATGGTGAGTACGAAAGGTTTGTTATCTGGGATTGCTTGTTTGCACGCAAGAAGGGTGTTTTGATATCCTGGTTGGTCTTGTCCCGTCGTTTGGCCTGTGTTGTGACGGAGGGGGCGGTGCTTGCATCTGGGACTTGTCATCTAGGATCTGTTTAAGTTTGCTTCCCCCTGTTTTGTTATATTGGGCTGTTCCCTTCCTCTTTTCTTTGCCTCTTTGCCTTTTGGCTGTGTGCAAGTGGGTCGATATGGCACACGGGGGTGGGGGCAGCCGCCGCTCAACCTCCATCCACGTGGGCGGCCTTGTACGCACGCAAGAGGTTTTGAACAGGGGGAGTTGTAAGTAAGAAGATAAAAAATGAATTGAATTTTTCTTGTTTTTTTTCGTTTTTGCGCTCTGATATCTTTGTGACTATATATATTCATATTTATATTGTTACATGCCTACGCTCTTGCACAGGTACGGCAGCATACACAGACACGCTCATCGGGTGTTGCTCTTCGTATGCTGGTCCGTGGACCCCGTGCAGGGGAATGGACTACGGATACGGGACCTGACACTCTTTCTGTTTCTGACATTCTTCAACATCTTCGGTTTATTGTTACAAATACATATTTGTTTCTTACACTCTATTGGGATGAGGCGCAGTACGTGGACAACCTGCAGCGTGTGGATCCCTCTGCTGCTCGCCGATATGCTTTTACATATCGGTTCATTGATGATGTTCTTACCTTTGATTGTCTGCCACCATCATCAGCCCATATGGTCTTGAATGGAAGGAGACCACTGCGGCAGATGGCTCGTGCACCTTCTTAGGTGCGAAATTGCAGACACGAGCAGACGGATCTCTCAGATTGAGTGTGTTTGATAAGACCGTTGCATGGGATTTTCCTGTTATACGATATCCTAGTGCAACGTCGAACATTCCATCTCATCAGCCTGCAGGTGTGTTCACTGGCCAGCTTACACGGTTTGAGCAGATCTGTGACAATTGGCGTGATTTCAAAACGGCAGCAACCATGCTTGTCCGCCGTTTGCTCTCGCGTGGTCATGCTCCGTCAACAGTGGCCCGTGGATGGACTTGTTACATTCGAGCTCGCCAGCGTCGACATCCAATACATGTAACTCGCCTTACACAATGGTTTCGACGTATGCTTCGCTGGTCC